TAATATGTGTTCACCTCTAGATATAAAAGTTTGATGGTAACAAAATATGATGCCAAAAACAAATTTGTTATGTGAAATTGCAGCCTCAAAGTGGTATGTTTGCCTTGAGATCAATCATTTAGCTTTTGGGGTTGCCAACTTTGTGTTTGTCAAGAAACATGGTAGATGCAATCAACCATGTAGCTCACTTAGGGCCTTTTGGATCCGGACAGCTATTATGCTAGCCAAAGGAAGCCTACCTCCGCCTTTAAAACATAAGGTATCAAGAGATTTTTAGACAAAATAAAGAACTTAGCAAAAGATCACCTTACCTCCCACTAGTTAGGATGGCGTAGTTCGTTGTTTTTTTCTTAATTATTACTGGTGATCGTTTTAGATGATGCCAAGTTTAAAAGGAATCTCAATATTTCTTGCAAAAATGGGTAGAGGGGAGAGAGAGAGAGAGAGAGAGAGAGAGATGAGGATTTAGAATACCATGTATTTTGTTACAAATTTAGAACTCCAGATCCCTATATTTCATGATGGAGGGAGCAATAGTTGGAAAATATCAGGTGCAAACCATCTTGGTGGAATTGTGAAAAAACTCGAAGGAAAACATTCTTAGGAGTTTTCGAAAAAATTGAAATGATGCACATCCATTGCATCTATAAATGTACATCTATAAGACAAAAATTGTGATTCAAACTCTGTCTAGAAAAAAATCATAGGAAAAGAATTTGTGTGCACCCGAAATTTGTTATTTTTTATGATTTTTTTCTGAGAATTTGTATGCACCCGAAATTTGTTATTTTTTATGATTTTTTTTATAAAATGAGTTTAATATCAAATTTGGTGACAATGTACAACTATAGATGCACTATGGATATGCATAGTTTTAGGTTTTTTTTAACTCCTAAATATGTTTTTAGGGGGTTTTCATGATTCTACTGAAAAAGTGGTTTGCACCTAATATCCCCCCCACCCAACCCACCCAATAGTTTTTTACTGGAGGGGGGGGGGGAGCTAAGTCCTATTTGGACTCTCCATCTAATAATAGCTGTTAGTACTAGTTAGCTAAATAGCACCGGTTAATAAGTTTTTAGTAACATATAGTTCATTTTGAGATATTAATTGAGTCATTAGCTGTAGTGTATAGATCTACTAAAACTAATTTTAATTATTAGCTCTTGGGATCAAACAGACCTCATTCTATGAGCTTGAGCGTTAGCCAAGGTCACTTCACTTAAAGTTACACTGAATGAAGAATTGAAGACGACGAGTAGTAAGAAATCAGGCGTCTAGACGGATTGAGGTAAAAGACAAATGGGTACAATGGAAACGATAAAGCTTGTTCGGCGTGATTGGTGGGGAAACACCAATCAGGCTCCAAAAGCGACGGAAAAGTGAGAAAAGGCACAGATACTGTCTGCACTGAAATTGTACGTCTTTTTCGGCGCAACATTGTGCTCTCGCAGACTCGCAGTCACGCTGTATCAACTTTTTTCCAAAGGAGAAGGAAGCTAGTTTTCTTATACACATACAATTATCTTTTAAAAAAATGCTACTGCAGAGTGTAGGCCTCTCCCAGTGTCGCTGGCTCGCTGCCAGGACTCCAGGAGATTGTTGCGACTGTCCGAGTAGCAGTAGTGTTGTACGCTGCTGGTAGCCCGGTACGCGAGGCCCAGGCCCAAATGCAGTTCAGGAGCCCGGCCGGCAGGCGGCAGGTGATAAAGCTCCTCAGGAGGAGAGTAAGTGATATGTTCCAAAAAAAAAAGAGTAGAGTAGGTGATGGTGAGCCTGCACTCCGGGCATGGGACCGGTCAGGAGCTTGTGTTTTTTACGTACTCCTACACAAGACTTTGCAGCAGTGCTGCTGCGGAAAATAGTACGAGTAGCTTTCACCATGCTTCAATTTTGTCACTGAACGAGGCTTTGCACGTCATGTCGTCATCTAATGAACCCAAAAAATGTTTAGGCTTAAGGATACCCGTTCATGAAAAACACAGTCAGAACACAAAACTGTAAACGAAAGCTTTTTTTTTTTAAGAAAAGGGCAGCACAATGAAATCGAGGGAAGTCGTCCGCTTGGATGAACTACCCTGGTGTATCCTTTTCCACGACGGGATCAGGTTCCAAATGGTTTTAGCAAATGGGCAAAGCAAAGAGGTGTTGCCATGTTGTCAAAAAAAAAAAAAAGAGGTGTTGCCCGGTCTAAGTCCATTGCACATTACGCAAGCATCTTGGTCAAGATGACTGTTTGGAATGCGGGAAATTTTTACCCTATTTCTATGTTTTTCATGTAAAATTCCTGCGTGATTCATGTGAAATTGTTGCGTTCCAAATAGACCCTTATTTGCTGTTAGGATCTTATCTTGCACTCCATCTATTTCAAATTATAAGACGTTTTACTTTTTTCTAGATACGTTATTTTTACTATATATCTAGACATATTATATATCTAAGTACATAGCAAAAGTTATGTATCTAGAAAAGTCAAAACATCTTATAATTCGGAGTGGAGGGAGTATAAGAATTCAAGTAAAGAATTTGCATTAGTTTTCCATATCAGGTTGTGCTTTTGCTTGGCACAGGGCGTGTTTGGGACCGCGGCGTGGGGGCACCATGCGGTGTGGTATTGATACCATCGCCTCCACCCCGTAGTACATTAAATGTGAGCGCTAGTTCAATCTCGCGGTCGTTGTGTCTCCGGCGTTGGAAAGAATCATCGATTCTGGTGCAAGTGAGGGGGATCGTAGTGTTTGGCGGGATTTTCTCGTTTCTCACAGTGAGGGAATCATAGATCTGATTTTAAACAGTCCCAAACATGCCCTTACTCCTTTGAGCTAAATACGATATGTTGAGTGGGTGGAATATTGTCATTCTCCAAGTGATCTTGTCATGCACCTTAGGGTGTAGTTGGACATCTTGTATCTAGATCCATACGGATATGAACTCAGTTTTAAGGTTATCAAAGTAGTACATTCTAAATCGAATTAGATGACTAGATAATATCGTAAACATAGAAAATGTAGAAACATACTATAGTGACTAAGATCGTAGAATTATACCTCTTAGTTAAGATCGTATAGCAAAATCGTAGATTTTAACAACTATGCTCATTTTGCTCTGTGGATGTCATGTAATTGCGGAGTACTCTAATCAAGAGTCGTCATTTCTAAGCTCTTGCATATACACGAAATTATCATGGACCAAAAGGTGTGTCTGTGTGTTGAAATAGAAGGTATATGATCAACTAGATTACTTATGACTCAACCGTGTCATTATTTTAATATATCTTGTTTTCAGACTTTGTATCATTAATTAGTCAGACACGTGTTGTTCTAATAATTCGTATAAGCATAGGCAAATTCTGAATCTGAACAGAAAAGATACCTACGTGAAGGTACCGTGGAAAGTAAAATACATACTAGGCGAAAGAATCCACTTTGACGGGATCTGTTGATGCTCTCATTCTTCGCCGTGCTTGGTCGTTGACCCGATGACCCTGTGGGCCCCGGGCGGGTAGGTAACCCGGTCGCTTTTTGTTGGGTTCTCCTCGCCCCCAAACAAATTTGAGGCCTCGATTTTATTACGTGGAGCCCGTTTCCTTGGATTTGTCTCACCTTGCCCGCCACATGATGGGCTGTAACAATTCAGCCCACCGCCTAAACAAAGCAGAGGAGAGAGGCGAGCAAAAGGGAACGGAAGGGGACACGGCCGATTAGCCCAGCCGAGTTTGGCTCCCGGTAAACTTTAGAAAAAGAGGGGCTTCTGTGGGGTAGGTAAAGACGAGGAAAGGAAGAGCTGCTGGGATCGAATCTGAACAGTGGCTTCAGCGAGAAATGTCATCTTAAACTGGTAATTCTACTAGGAAACGGCATGTTCACGTGCTGCTACAACTTAACCATAGAGAGTGGAGTTCAAATTGGAAGTCGATTATTTAGAAATGTACTGTAGGCGAGGGAGTAAAAACCGTTGCTGTGTTTTCGGGGCAGCAGGTATTTCTGGGCCTGTGCTGTGCCTGCTGGCGTTTCCTCCTCCGGCTCCGGCTAGGAGAGGGAGAGAAAAATGCTGACGAAGCCGCTGCTGATCGCCTGATCCTACGCTCCGCTGGTCCGCCCCATCCCTTTCACCGTTCACCCTCTGACCAGTGATCTCACTACAGTAATGGCTGCCTGCAGCGAGCTTTGACCTACCCGTAACTGACACGAAACGTATAAAAATTGGGGGCGTAAGCAAAACAGACTCGCAGTCCCGCTCACTGTCATTCTCAAAAACGGCGAAGGTCACATTGGAGGAGACTTTTGAGCCGGAGAAGAAATGATTGGGGAAAAAAGAGGCTAAAAGAATCGCTAATTGCAGACGAACCTCTCTCTGCCGACAGTTTTCGAAATTGCTGACAGCCACAGCCACACAGGTATCTGATTCGTGATGCCCAGGAACAAGCCGATGGAATCAGCGCGAAAAACAAAAGCAGATTATTGTAGGACGGATCGGGTGACTGGGAGAGAGAGAAGAGTAAAACAATAGGGACATCGATCGACGACGAACAAACCGTAAAGAAAGAAAGGAGAGGAGATCTCACTCGACTCAAGCAAAGGAAAGGAGAACAAAGCGGCGGCACGGGAAGAACATAACGAATCACGAGAAAGAGCCCCCCGGCGGGCGCTCAACCACCCTCATCTTTTGCTTTCGTTGCTTCACTTGGACTTTGTACTCGTCTACTACTCAACCCCACCCGTATCTTTTTTTTCCCTCTCTCCCCCGGCTCTTATCTTAACTGACCGAGACCAACAAGTCGCCCCAGCCAGCAAAGGTAAACGAAAGTACGTACAGTCCGGTCGGTATGCTAAGTAGGCCGCACGCTTTTGCTTTTCACGCCCCGGCGAAAAAGCCCTGCTATTTAAGCACGCCAAGCTCTGTCTGTCTCCACTCCACCCAGCCTCGCTCGCTCACTCGGTCCACACTCTGTCTGTCTCAGTCACACTCACGTCGTCCTCCTACACCGAGGTCGACGAGCCATGGAAAGGGAGGTGCAACTGATGGAGGGGAGGCCGCAGGCGTGGCCGCTCCACATGATGGGGATGGCGCCCGCTGGTCCGACCACCAGCTGCTTCGACGACTACAGCAGCAGTAGCAGCGGCGGCGGCGGCGGCGGCGGCGGCGGCGACGGCTTCGTGCTCGGGTGGGAGCAGCTAGCGGCGCCGCCGTTCGGTTGCTTCGGGCTCCTCGCCGCCGACGTCCACGACCTCTTCCCGCTCTGTACGTACGCCTGCGTGCTAGCTCTCTCGTTTCTTTTTTCTTCGTCGCGCTAGCTAGCTGTGTGTGTTGCTGGCCGACGACCTTTCTTTGCCCGGACTATTGGTGATCCTCGTCGGTTTCGGTTGTTTCCTGGCTTTGCAGTCGCCGCAGGCATGGAGCCGCCGGCGCTGCCCGCCCCGCCGCCGTCGGCAAACGACGTGGCCGCCGCAATCCCCGGCGAGCTGGACGACCTTCTCCTGGTGCGTCACGAGTCACGACACGAGCGGAGGGGTCAAACAGACCATGGCCAATCCTCCTGGCATTAGCAGTAGCAGCCAGCTCTGAATTTACTCTGCTCGCTCATCAAACCCCTTACCCCTCGCGTGTCGTTTGCAGAACTTCTGGGACGCGAGCTGCCACGACGGCGACGTGGGCGAGCCGCTCAAGGCGCAGCAGCCGCAGAAGCAGGCCGCCTTCAATTCCAGCTGCGTCACGCACGAGCAGGACTACTGCACCCCCACCACCAACTCCTTCCTCCACTGTGAGCGCCCGCGGCCAGTTTGAATCGAACCCTCCTCCGCTCCCACTCTGAACTCTGAAATTGACCGAGAGTTTCGTCGTCTGCGATGCAAACGGACGCACCTGTTAGTTTTAGGTCTTGTTGGTCCCGCGCCTCGCGTCAAGTACATCACCATGGTCGTGGGTCGGACAGAGGCAAAGGACAAGCCTGGTCGTAGAGCTAAGCGTTAAACAATGGCGCTTTGTCAATGCGTTTGCATGCGTTGCCATCGATCGGAAACGTGGGGCCCGCGGGAAGTTTAGCGGCACGTAATTGTCACCCACGGCCCCATGATTTCCGCATGATCGATGCATGGATTGGTAGCACATTGTTCAAATCATTATGAGTACTATACTAGAGTGAGTATTATAGTGGCGACTACGTGCTCACTTCGCACTGGAGTACTAGAATATGCATATGAGAGTCGAGAAATGCAAGTGAGCATGATGCCCGCGTCTGACTTGCAAGGCCAGAACAGGCAGGCAAGACAGGGCGCTTCTTTTGAAGAAAAGAAAGACAGATCTGGGTTCTACTACGTGTTTAGATTGTACTAGTGCCGCCCGAGATTCTACTAGTAAATTATAAGTACTGCCTAGTGTGTGCATAATCTTCTTCGTCGCTCCCCAATTCTAAACTCAGCCGATGAAACTGACTAATCTACCTCTCCTGCCTGCTGTCCTGCAGATGATGATGATGGCGATGATCCCTTGAGCTCGATTTTCTCGGCGGGTCCCGCGCCGGCACTGGCAGCGGAGAGAGTGGTGTTCCAGCAGCAGGCCCCCGCCGCAGAGGCAGAGCACCTCCCCAGCTCGTCCTCCTCCAACTGCCGCGGGGACCCGCGCGCCGGCGGGGTCGACCTCCAGCTGCAGCTGGAGGGGCAGGGGCAGGGGCAGGGCGCCGCGTGGGCGCGGACCCCGCCGCTGCCGAGGAGGACCTCCACGTCCGCCCCCTCGCTGAAACGCGCGACACGCGAAGGTGCGGGTCTCGTCTTGTCACGCCGCGCACGCGAATTCTCATTTCTCACAGCCAGCAAATGCCTGGCGAGAGTTGACATCACATCATTCGTTCCACTCGTGCTAACTGCTAATTAATAAGCTAATAACCCGCGCTTTATTCGCTGCTGCTGTACGTGTTGTCCCCAGCAGAGTCGTCGGCGGCGGCGGCGGAGTGCAGCAGCCAGAGCGACGGCGGCAGCAACAAGCGGCGGAAGGCGGCCGCGGCCGCGGGGGTGGTGTGCCCGTTCGCGCTGCTCAAGCCCGACGGCCTGGACGGCGGCGCGACGCTGGCGGACATCAACGCGCGCATCCTGATGCGGCCGGCGCGCCCCGTCCGGCACCCCGTGGGCGAGTTCGCGTGCGCGCCGCGCGTGTCCGCGGACCAGCCGGGCATCTCGGGCAAGGCCGTCGCCAGCTTCACGCGCCTGCACACCCCAGGGCGCGGCACCATCACCATCATAAGGACGCGAGAGGCTAGCTAAGCTAGCACGCCTCTGCCGGCTGCTGCTGATGCACATGAATCATGGCGGTGTAGGATTAGCTAGGCACCTACCTGGCGGCTAAGTGGTGACTGACTGGACCTCCCAGTTGCGATGCCGTGTAATGTAATTATCTGCGTAACATGTAAATCGAAGGAATAAAATGTCTCCGATGATCCAATCTACCAGCTGCTCATTCCTCCTGTACCCGTAGACTGCAACTAACTTTTGATCAGGATCTGAATCAGTAGCTGAGAACTTCCGTTGGATGGTTTCGCTGCCATCGGCACGGGCCAAGGGGCTTGTATACAAAAAGGTTGTGCTACAGCCTGCTTACATTCCGAAAGCTGGAGGCAGCTAGCTTTCCTTTTGTCCGCACAGCCAGCGTGGGGCCTGCCCACTGCTGCCAGCCACTGGCGACTGCTGCTTCGAGCAGCAGTTGTGTGTGTCTGTGTGAGAGAGTGAGACAGAGAGAGAATGCTGAGCTCAAACAATCACCCCGTTCGCTTGGAGCCGGGCTCGGGCTGTGTCTCCGATCTCCATGCGCGGCGTGGCGCCTTTGTCTGGTCGATGCGGCGTGCAGCACCAAGACAAAGATGGCACGATTAAAAACGCAGGTGTTCTTGAGTTGGCGTGCGTGCCTTGTTGCTTGCGAGGCGCAGACGCTGAGACGTCCGCTCGTGTACCGTGTGGGCGGGTTGTTGCACGTAAAGCTGACCATATGCATGTGAGCCCGTATAGCCGAGTCGGTCCATGTGTATGAGGCTCTCGCGGCTCTTGTTCTCTTGCTGCAAGCCTCTTCGGCAAAGAGAATATACGAATCCGGTAAAGACGGTGTAGAGCAGGACAGGGCAAAATCAGAGGACGAACTAAAGCTAGTAGTACTATCAAGGAGAGTTTGAAGAAGGTTTAAGAAGAAGAGAAAAAGATAGAGGAGGGCGTTTGCACTGATTTGATTTGGGGGAGTGAGTGAGTGAGTGAAAGCTTGCACGGAGCATCTGGTTCGGTAGACGGCCGCAGCCAAAGCGAAAAATCAAAGTGGAAATGATTCCGGCTCCATCATTGTGGCCGCGCAAAAGCGCAACGGAGCATGTCTCGCTCGGCTCATGCATGGCTGGGCTGGGGGTGGGGGACACTACTGTAGCCTATACGGCAAACGCAACCTTGAAAGCGAGTAACAGAGCCGCTGGTCAGCTGGTGTGTGTGTATCTGAGAGAGAGAGAGAGATTGAAAATGGCGTTCTGTAATTATTTCTGCGTCTCTACGAGCTATCAATGACAGGCGGAATGATGATGCATGCGACTTACTACAGCACCGGGTAACCGGATTATTCGTACCGTATACCGTCCTGTCTGGACGGGAAATGTAGGCAGTATTGTCACGATACCTAACCCTGGAGTTTATACTTGCACAAATGGGAAGAAATTGATAAGGCCTCGTTCGTTTAGGGTGAATTGAGGGTAAGAATTAATCCGGCTGATCATTGCTATTATAAATAAACCTATCGTTCCGGCTGGAACCGTTCCGGGCACTTGTTCCCAAGTAAACGAACATGCCCTAGAGGAGATGGGAACAAATGCGTGCATGCTGACAAAGTTTCACCAACCGCCGGCCGTCGGTCAAGGCGGTTTCGTGGCAGTCGTTAAATTCGTGACATCAAACGGGGGTGGCCCGTGGCCGGAGCGGCGGAACCCGGAGGAGGCGGTTGGGTGGGTGGTGCATGCCTCGTAAATACGCGTGGGGCCACCCAAGTGTCGTGTCGCCAAAGTTAGGGCAGGCATGACTTGAATTAAAGCCCCCAACGGCTGCTCTCTTCTAGTGCTACTAGCATATTCATTCATTTTTCATGCATGGGCATGGGGCCATTTGGATCCCGACTTTTGTGTGATGAATCCAGGGAACAAAACTATTCAAGGGACTCGTGATCTCGCAACTAAGTAGCATGTGAATATAATGCGACGCCGAGGACTTTACAAACAATAATGCGGTCCTCACCCGAATCTGTATAGAGGTAGCTTGTTCGGCTGGTATTAAAGCTGGTTGCAGCTGTTTTGTTGTGAGAGAAAAATACAGTAGATTCTAGCTGATAAGTCGGCTGATAAGTTTAAGCAAGCATGCCTGTAGTCTGGTAGGGCTACACAACCACTACAATCTTACCATTTTTGCATCAGGATAGAGGGAGTGAGTGCTTCAGTCAATGCAGTTCGATCAAAACGTCCAACTGCATGGCCTACTCTAGTACCAATTGATAATAATCGTGCATGGCATGCTTAACTGTTTTCTGCCAATTACAGGGAAAAACTAACGGCAGACCTATATACTATTTTTGTTTGTTTGTTTATAAAAGAGGTAGAACTGCCGATACAATTACACATATGAAATAATACACAGGAGCATGTATAGCTTTGCCTTTTGAGAATGTGATCTAATGCAGATTTTGTTTTTCGAAAGGTTCTGACACGACATGCGCATCCATGCATGACACAGCTACAGGCCAGGGGGAAAAAAGTCGAGTTGAAAACTGCTGCATCATCCACACGGCGACTGACAAACTTAATGATGTGCAAATGAGGCGCTTGGAGCTTAACGACGACGTTTCGATCGTGCCCCTGTCACACTCACCTGCCTCAGGATCGTGTTAGAGATTCAGATGCCTAATCAAGGACTGACGACGTGACAACATGTTGACACATCAGTCACTGAGTGACCACTAGTACGTACTCCGTACTATACATCTGTCTGCCCATCAGTCCATCATCAGTGCCCCGGTTCCCCTCTTTCAATCGCACAGAAGTCAAACCACAGCTTTCCCCCGATAATCCGGTGGCCATGGCCACACACAGTTTTGAAATGGCCCGTGTCAATAATTGCCTGCTGCCCGCGGGTAATAATCAGTAGGAGTAATTTCCCCTTCCCACTGGAGGGAAACCGACAAGGACGACAATTAACGGGCATACAGGCAGACACTGGCACCATCGTCCGAATTTTTTTATTTTTTAGTCTTTTTTTTAAATCACAAATATACCTCAGGAGGTATAATTTTAAAATCTTGACCCTTAACTCGGCGCCATCGTTGGTGCCGCCGAGCTTACACGTCTCGGCGCCATAGATTCTGGCGCCTAGGTCTTGGGCTCGACGTAGACGTGGCGGTGACTTGACAGCCACTTTGGCACCGAGCTTAGTGCCGTAGTTATTGGCGACAAACCATGTTTTACGTATGGGCCCTCCCTTCCTTTCTCTCTTCCTCTCTCTCTACCGCTCCCGAGCCAGGGCGCTACCACCGCTGCCGCACCGCCGTGCCCGCCGTCGTGCGTTGCCCCGGCCGTCCGCGGCCCGCGCCGGCCCCAGCCCGCTCGCGCCGCCTCGCCGCATGGAGCGCCGGCCGTCCCGCGCCCGCCGCGCGTCGCCCCTCCCGGCCCGCGCCGCCTCGTCCGTCCCGGCTCGTCGCATCTGCCACGTGCATAGGCGCTTCCTCCGACGACCCCGGCCGCGACACGGCCCCTGCTCCCAGCGCGCATTGACTTAGACAGGTATTTTTTTCGAATATGCAATGTAGGTACTTAGTTAGCTTGAATTATAGTGCTACTTTGATTATTTGGTAGTTTCTAGTAAATTTGATGATGTAGGTAGTTGATTTAGTTAGTGAGATAGATATAGTTAGATAAATATAGTTAGATAGCTAGTGACATAGGTACATATATATAGTTATTAGATAGCTAATTGATTTAGTTAGTGAGATAAATATAGTTAGATAGCTAGTGACATAGTTATTTAGGGTGTAGTTGGTTAGTATCTATTAGAGAGGTACTATATAGCAGCTACTTTGGACTAAACGAACTGTATTTTAATTTTTGTTTGAACTAGTAGATGGACAACTTAGTGAGCATATATCATGGAGGCACCGTGAAAAGAGATCGCTATGGATATGTTGAGTTTGTTGAGATGCAAAGCGTGTCTGTGTTATTCAATGAGAAGCCTTCATTTAGTGAGTTGGTTGCAAGGGCTTGGGAGGAGCTACATTGCCATAGAGCTGACGATGGTGGTGGCATCGCAGTGGAGGGTGTACTTCACCTAGGTTTCCCTCCCAACATCCTAAGGAAGATGATCCCAATTGGGTGTGCAGACCAGTGGGAGAACTATGTGAGATCGGCTATAAAGTGTCAGTTCCAAAGTTTGGACGTGGTTGTGCGCCGGGTGTTAGTTGATCCCATCCCTCATGGGTTTTCCCCACCAATGGGTCAGCAGGCACACTTCGACCCTCCCGTCCCGGAACCTGATATGGATGTGGAGGTTGCACCTACGGTTTCTGATGCTCAATCTGCCCCCAATGAGCTAGTTGGAGATGCTTGTCAGACTCATGATGTTGTGGCAGATCCTCCTCATGAGATCCCTTTGACACAGAATCATCCGAGTAAGTGTCGTATCTACATGGTTATTGGGAGCTCACCCCCTTTCTTACATCCATTTTTTTCATTCTTTCCTCATTTTTTACTTATGTTGCAGGAGACATTCCTAACAATATGGATGTGCCCACTGTTGCTGCGTAAGTGCACTATGGAGATGGATTCCGTGGCTTCAATAGTATTGAAATTATGAATGATTCGGAGCCATATGAGATGGCAAGGGCTCTTGATTCTGATGATGATCGCCCTGTTGGAGAGCTAACAGAGAGTGATGTTGAGATGCTGAGGCATATCTTTCCCGGCCGCCATGATCCAAGAGCTCACGAGTTCAGTGATCTTGCTCATTCTGATCAGGCGTGTGCAGAAGGATGTGATGATGAGCTCCTAGAAGCTCCTAAGGCCAGCCCTAACATGGTAATTGAGAAGGGTAGGGTATTCAAGGACCTCCCTACATTGAAGAGGTGGTTGTAGGCATTTGCAGTGATACGAAAGAGACCTTACAAGGTCTTGCATTCATATATGGAGTGCTGTTACACAGTTGTGTGTGACAAGAAACGCTGCCCATGGAGGGTTTGTGCAAGGAAGCAAAAGGTCACCGAA